GATTTTATTTTGTATTAATTGACAAGAGCTGACAGGAAAGGACAGGTTTAATGACAATCAAATGAAGATCAACTGGGCCATGTGTCACACAGGAGAGCTGCATCGAGTAGTGATAAAGTAACTGCTGGGACACGAGGAGACAGAGCACAGGAGTGTGTCATAGACCGTGATAAGTTATCCTGTAATATTAGTACATTGCCTGCAACAGCTCGCGAATCCAATAGCTCTCAGAGACGGGTACAGTATATGCCCAACAAAAGAAAAATAGATATTGACTCTGCATATGTAATACCAGATCGTTTGCCATTAAACTTAATTTCTAAATCATTTATGGGACTTAATGACTCCGCATGAAATTTTTAAGCCAGTGGGAAGATGAATAGCACCAAGAGAGAATGTGGACGAGCACAGTGTCATTTACCTACCCCTGGCCCACTAACAGGTGACAGCTGAGCTATTGAAATATGTCCCAAACACTTAAACTATAATGTCATCACTTAGGAGACAAGTGAAAAAGATATTGGCATTTATAAGAGATTGATGAAAATTAGTTCCAAAGCATTAATTTCTCTTAATACCACTAAAAGAATTGTGTGCATTCAGGAGATATTTGATCTGAATTAAGAAAGTGATGAAGCAATTGACTAATTGGGACTTAAGCCATCAGTCCCCAGATCCATCAACAGCTTCATCTACATTCTAAACAATCAAGCCGGCAGCCCAGGGACCGTCCAGTGTTAGTCCCTGGTCACTACACCACAGACAGGCCCCCTGAGCTGTGCTGACAAACACAAGCTTTACCTGGCCAAGCCCGGACACACCATGGAGACCGAAGACTTGTCCACGGGCTAGGGCTGGAAGGTTTTTATTATAACAGACAACCTACTATCAGATTCTTCTGAACTGACACTGCAAAGTAATAAAATAGTATCAATGGCGTCAGTAGATACACAAAAAATTCTGAATAGGTGTACTTTCAAAAATGAGATGATTACAAAAACTTAAATTACTTAAAGTCATAGAAACAGAGCTTCCCAAGAAATTCTAAGAATTCCTGAGAATTCTTGATTTAAAGCAATATTACGACACACATTTTATCCAGCTGGGAAGCTCCTGGGTCCATTTTACAAAAAGAAGAAAAACAGCAAGAAATAACAACCTGACATTTTAATATCTGCATTATCTATAGTTAGCAATGGTTTTAACAATTTGTGTGATAGGAAAAATAATAAAACTAAGGAATATAACAGAACCGTATGCTTAAACAGACTACAGTAAGGTCCTAACTCAGATTCATTAATAACCTTCCAGGAATATGTGAAACAATAAAGAATTTAGCATAATGCATATTAATCGTGTCCATTTTTCTGGGGAACAAGTTGATTAATTCCTAAGATTCTCAAAGACATCCAGGACCTCCACAATATGAAGTACCATTACACCACAGTGGGCAATTGTCCCTACAACACGAAATGCAACGGAAAAGCAGAGGCAAAGAAAATGTTTTTAAAACATCATCAATCCTGGGGCGCCCGGGTGGTTCAGTCGGCGTCCGACTTCAGCTCAGGTCACGATCTCACGGTTCATGGGTTCGCGCCCCACGTCAGGCTCTGTGCTGACGGCTCGGAGCCTGGAACCTGCTTCGGATTCTGGGTCTCCCTCTCTTTCTAGCCCTCCCCTGCTCATGCTCTCTCTCTTTCAAAAACGAATAAACGTTAAAAAAAAAAATTAAAACATCATCAATCTAGATACAATGTTCTTCATCCAAAGCTAATAAAGAGTATCTCATTTTGCCAAATGCTCTAATATTCTACCTATGTTCTGCTGCCTAAACAATGATACAGTGAAAACATCATTCAGAGGCTGAAGCACTTCTAAAAATGCTGTTAGTCATGTGATCATCAACAAGGCCCTCAGATTCCTCCTCTGAAAAATGAACGTTTCTCATTATCTTCTAGCTTCAAAGTGCTGGCTTTTCCTCACCTTTTATCTCCCAACACAAACAGTATAATCTATTTCTCTTAAGTTATTTATCTAAACACCATTTCCATATTTAGGACAGTATTCTTTTGTTTTGTTTTATTTATTTTGAGAGAGAGACCGCAAGAGCGCGTGGAGCAGAGAGAGAGGGAGACACAGAACCCCAAGCAGGCTCCACACTGTCAGCACAGAGCCCAGAGGCAGGGCTTGATCCCACGACCATGAGATCACGACCTGAACCGAAACCAAGAGTCGGACCCCGACCCAACTGAGCCACCCAGGAGCCCCTAGGTTAACATTTTTACTCTCATATACTATTGCCACCACAAACATTCAAAGGGTAATTAGTATAAAAGCATCTCTCAGGGTCGCCTGGGTGGCTCAGTCGGTTAAGCGTCCAACTTCGGCTCAGGTCACGATCTTGCAGTTTGTGGGTTCGAACCCCGGGTCGGGCTCTGTGCTGACAGCTCAAACATCTCTCAGACTTGAATAAACGTTAAAAGAAAAAATTGAAGAAAAAAAAAAGCATCTCTCAGGCACAAATGTTTCTGCTATTCATTATATTAAATACATTTAGAAACAAAGACAAACCATAAGTAAGTAGATGATGTAAACAGGGATGGCAGTGTAAGAATGTCCGAAAATCCATTTCTCCATAACTACAATGAGAACATCAGTAAAAACTGTCAAAGGCAACCCTTTCAGAACTCTGGGGAATGATCAAAGACTTGCGACAGTCCCAGGTGCATCTGTTTCAGAAACACGGCTAAACTGAGCCGAGAGTCAGCTGGGGAGTGTCGTGATTTCTCCCCTTTCCAAACCCTCCCCCCTCCACCCCACGGCTCCACGGTAGCTGAGAAAACGGCCAGCCCCTGACGGGGGGCCAATCACAGCTGGGGCCCTTCGAACCCACGCCCTGCGAACTGTCATCACCTGACAAGCAGGGCTCGCCTGGATGTGACCCGACCCGGAGCCCATTCACTGACGACAGCACTTTCCCTGGGCTGCGGGTCAAAACCCGTCAGCGGCAGGTGTCTGACGTCACGGCTCCCTCGGGTGGTGACAAAACTGGTAAACACTAAGCTAACCAGAAAATTGAAAGAAAACTGGGAAAATCAGATGACCTGAAGGAGGCTCTGAAAATTCCCATCACATTCCTGGGAGTCTAGAAGCCAGCGGCCCGTGCGGAGCTGCACACGTGCCCAGGAAACCCTGAAAGGCCGTAACCTCACGCCCGGTGACACGATCAAGAAGCAGAGGCATGGGCAGAGCCGTCACCCGCCTGCCCCGGCTGCAGGAGTTAAGGGGACACAGGCTACCGTTAAAAGGTAAACCTTGCAGCTGGGGCACTCAAACAGCTCGCTCTCTCCGAGTCACTTGGTCAGGGGAGGGGAGGGGGCTCAATCCCGCAGGCCTCCGTGAACCCCGGCTGGCGGCTTCAACACGCAGCTCCCGAGACGACCCCGGCCACGGCGACGGAGCCGGCACCGGGAAGACAAGGGTCCAAGGCTACAAAGGAGGTTGAGGCCAGGCCTGGAAGCAGCACACGTGGCTGCCAGCCGTCCTCCTTCGGCCAGACATCAGGGCACAGCCCCATCGGACTGGGCAGGAAAGGGGCCTGGCTGTATTTCTGCGAAGACAGGGAAACGGACCGAAGAGCCGCTCCCCGGTCCGCTGGCGGGAAGAACCAGACCGCAGGAAGGAACACACAATAAGGTAAACGTATCAAGTGTACGTGCTAAGAAGCAGCAGCCGCACTCTGGCGTCAACGGCAGCCTCGCGTTACAACGTAAATAACCGTAACTACAGTGGGTGAGAAAACATTTTCTTTCTCAGGACTTAAAATGTCCCTTTAAAAAAATGCTGTTTACATATGAAGAAAACCCTAAGCTAACAACTCTAGCACCTGGCTGGCTCAGCGTGCGACCCTTGATCTCAGGGTCGTTGAGTTCAAGCCCCACGCTGGCTGCAGAAATTACTTAATAAACTTAAAAGAAAGTTGTTGGGGCATGGCTCAGTGGGTGGAGCATGCCAACTCCATCTCGGGAATGTAAGTTCGAGCCCCCCGTTTGATATAGAGATTACTTAGAAAGAAAAGGAAAAAAAAAAAGAAAAAGAACAACTAAATTAACAACTCTAAAATTTAACTTTGTCCTTTCTATGTTTCACACTACAAATAATACATATGCTGAGCTTCCTAGAAAAATACTGTTCATTTATTCAACAAAGTCAGAAATGTGAGACAGAAGGAACTTGGGCATTACTTGAGAGGCCTCCCATCGTTTTAGATGCGATGAAACGGTGTGTGGCCACGTGGCTGGCGCGCGTGATTCAGAACTGGCCAGAGCAGACCAGGCTTCAGGTCTCCTGATTCCCAGCATATAGGTTTCCCCCTCGACCGCATGAGGCTGCCATCTCCTTAGCCCTTTTCCACCTGCTTCTGACTGGGGAAAGCTCAGTCACAGAAATAATCATTTACCCTGTGAAGCGCCTTCAACTAAGCTTCAGACCTAAGCGACGGTCTGCTTCCTCTCAGGATCCCCCCACACATCTTCTAACCATATTATCTATATAATCACAGTACTACTGGCAAGGTATGTCCATCCACACGACTGCTTAGAAGGGAACAAAACAGTCTTGCTCCCTTTGGATCCTACGTGACAAGTACTGCCTGGCACACAGGCAGTGGTCAATACGTGTTTGCTGAATTAACAACACTGCAAATACAGAACGGCAATCAGATTTCAAGCAACATTATTTAATTACTTACATATCAATACAAGTGTGAATGAAAACACTCATTTGATATAAAGGTTGTGATAGGATTATCTTTTGTTAATAAACATAAATAGTAAAGATCATTTGAAATATCAGCAGTTAAATGTGATTTAGAATTAATGAATTTAATGTATTACCATTCAAAGAAAACTTTTCTGTAAGAATAAATTTTTATCTTTCAAAATGAAAATCAAACTCCTAAAATACTAAATGATCGGCAATTTAAATACACATAGAAATACCTGCTTTTTCTGACGTCCTCAGAAATACCATGTCCGATGGAATTCTTTGATTCTGCAGAGAGTAATATAAAATACTAATTATACATATGCAAGTTTATAAAGTAACACCATTCCATTACAAAGTAGAAATAGCTAGCAGAAACTATCTAAAAAAATGTTATAATAAAATTTATACTGAAGCAATTAACATTAATGATTTGTATAACAATTTGTATAACTGATATTCAAATTCATTTTTTAGTTAGACTTTTTACCATTTTTCCCTGTTAACAAACCATGAAAATAGCACTTGTGAGGACCTGAAACCTACTCCATTTCTGAAAAGTGTTACATATTGCCTTTTCTTTGGCCTCTTTCTTATCTGAACTTGTGCATACAAGACAGAAGTTTCTGCCCTAGAAAAAGTTATGTCCTATTAGACTAAAAAACCCTGGGAAGGGAGGGTAGGGTTCCAGGGCCTAACACAAAACAGAAAATACCATAAATAAACTATTTACTACATATTATAAATGAATAAATGTACTACTGAGCAAACAAACGAAACCCCCACAAATTTGAGAGAGATTCTTTTATAAAGCAGAAAAGGACAAAATCTCAAAAGTACTATATAGCATATAAAAACTTTTACAAGAATTTGCTATTAATACATTTATTTAATCATTGCTAATCATTCTATCAATTGGGAAAGCTGTATCAAACTAAGAAAAATATATAGTAAAGAACATTTCACGTAACATCCTAAAGTACTTATATTTTTTGAGACCTGATAAAGTAGAGGAAGCAAGCAATACAAGCAAAGCGAGCAAGCAATACAAACAAACAGAAGTTGTTAGGCTGAGAACACCGCGCTGTGGGATAAAGCTGTCAAGTACTGAGATCTAAAGAAGTCTTAGGTCAAAAAGGAAATCACGATGGAAGTCAGAAGATATTTTTAGCTGAACGATAAAAATGCAACACAGCAGAGCGTATGGAACCGTGCTCCCAATGCCAAAGGGAAACGTTAAGAGGAAAATGTATACAGTTAAATGCACACAATGGAGAAGGGAAGCTAAAAATAGAATCTGAATATCCACTTGAAAGCAGGGTGACAAAAGCCAATGAGCCCCAAACGAGGTACAAGGATGTAAGCAAATACAAAGCAAAAATTAATGACACAGAAAACAAGTATATATATATATACATATATACATATATATATGTATATATGTATATATATATATGTAATGATCAGCAAGAAAGCTTTTTTTAAATATGTGCATTTCAGTAAAAAGAAAAGCTAACGTTAGACTATAACTAAGAAAAGATGCAGAGCAAGTCAAGTTCTGTAAACGAAAAAACTATCAAACGTTACTGAGAGAAGTTAAACAAAACCTACGTAACACAGAACACATCCTGTACCAAAATCAGAACACAAAGATGTCAGGTGCCCATCAACCGATCTAACGCAAACCCAATGAAAATCTTAACACGTTTTTTGGGAGGAACTGACAGGTATTCCCAGTATTTACCGGGAAATGCAAAGGCCGAGAATGAACAAGACAAATGTGAGAAACAAGGAGGCTGAGTCTACAGTATAATAAAACTAAAGTATCAGACTAGAGCAATTACGACAAAACGGTTTTCCACCTCGACAGACAGTTCTACTGACGTACACGCAGAGACAACAGAAGGCTGGCCCACATGTTCATGAACACCAGGTTAACGAGAAAGGTGCCACTGCAGACCAATAAGGAAAAGTGTTGAGAAACAGATATCTACAGAAGATGACGGGAAAGAATACCAAATTTCTGTAACAGTCAAAACATAAAAATCTATCCCGAGTGAATCTGAATCTATCCCGAATGAATTTCTAAATGTCAAAGTCAAAGCGATAAAGCTCCTAAAATACAGAATATTTTGACAATTTTTTGGTAGGGTCCCTACCAAACCTAACAGACTCCTCCTCACAATCAAAAATTTTAAAAACCAACCAACCAAACAAAAACCCAATTAACTATCAATGAGAAGATTAATAAAATAGACTTCATCAAAATTAAGAATATCTGTTTAACAAAGCACACCAGGGAGGAAAATATTATTTGCAACATTATCACTAATAAGAGACCCCCCAACCGGAATACCTAAAGGCCTAAAACCTGATAAGAAAAGAAGAAATAACTTAGAAGAAAAATAGCAAATGATTTCAATAGGCTCTTCCCAAACAAGGTATCCAAAGGCATATGGAAAGGTGTGCAATTTTGTTACTCTTCAAGGAAATGCGTGTTAAAACCACCACTACCACACACATACTGGAAATGCAAAATGCACAGGGTTGACAATGCCAAGTGTTGACAAACACGGGAAGCATCCGGAACTCTTACGCACTGCACTGCCCACTAGAGGAGAACGTGGTACACTGCCTTGCAAGGTCATTTCCAGTATCCACTAAAGTGGAGTATATGTATCCCCCATGCCCTGCAATCCCACTCTTTAGGCATATATACAGTAGCACTGTGTGCACAATTATCACTTCTAACAGGCAAAACTAAAAGCCGCCCAGATATGCACCAACGGTAGGACGGACAAAGGGCACACTGTGTAACAACGAGAAGAGCAAACCATGGACACACAACAAAATGGAAGAATCTCACAGGCAGTACTGGACCAAAAAAGCACCCACCCAAATACATCCCCCATCCCACTCCACCAGGTGCCCCTGCTAAGTTGATTCTTAACAATAATTTTATTTGTAAGTATTTTATTCTTTTTAATGCTATCGTAATGGTATTTTTTCCCTTAATTTCACTTCAGGCCATTACTCTTTAGTCCCTTACCCTGTTTTATTTTCTGTGAAGCACTCATAAAGAGTGTTAAACAATCATGGATACTTTTTATTTTTCCCTCCCTTCAAGACTATGAGCAACACAGGAGCAGAGACCCGTGTTTTCTTAACATCATAGACCCTGGTACGATGTACAACTGTTCCTCCGACCATCACCCATTCAGGATATCTGGTTTGTGATTTTTGGCAATTATGAATAATACAGGCATAAACATTCATGGATGGCCTTTTGTGCCAATTCAAATGAACATTTCTCTGTGATAAGAGGTCCAAGAGTTCAACTGCTGGGCCATACCACAGTTGCATATTAAATTTTTTAAGAGACTGTCTATTGATTTTCTAGGGTAAGTGTAACATTTGATGTTCCCACTAGAAATGTATGAGTGGCCTTTCTTCACATCGTTGCTAGCACCTGGTGTTGTTACCAGTTTTCATTGTAAACGCTGTGCTGTGTGTGCACGGAGGCGTCACGGTGCTGTCTCACTTGCATTCACAGATTACTCATGACGCTGGGTACCCTCTCCTGCTCACTCTCCAGCCATAATCTTCTTGGAGACACATCTCCTCCGTCTTCAGTTCGCTTTCTCACTTGATTCTTCGTACTGCTGGGTTTTCACATACTCTAGATACACAAATCTATCAGCCATGTGGTTTACAGACGTCTCCTTCTGGGCCTTTTAGCCTGTTTTCATCGTAGTCACGTGTTCTTTCACAAGCACAAACGCTTTATCTTAATGAGATGCAACTTACCGTTATTTTTCTTCTCCGCATCATGCTTTTGGCATCAAGTCTAAACACCAGTGTCCTACCCTAGAGTTGGAGTATTCTCTCTGATGTTTTTCTTCCGAAGTTTCACACTTACACATTTTTCACTTAAAGTCATGATCCATTTTGATTTAATACCTCTATAATGTGTAACATTCAGATTGGGTTCGTTTTTTTAAACCCTGGACGTCCACTAGTTCCAGCTCATTGGTTGAAAGGCCAACCTTTCTCCATTTTAATTGCTTTTGCACTTTGTCAAAACTCACTTGAGCATTTTGGGTGTATCTATTTCTGGGTTCTCCAGAATGTTCCACCGATCTCGATTTCTCCCCTTCTTACACGCTGGGCTCGGTCATGCGCCTCAACACCAGGAAGTCACCCTTCTCGCGTTATTCTCCTCACCAGCATTGCTTTGCTATCTCAGCCTTCACAAATGGCTTTTACAATAAGCTTATTTTGTATGTAAAAAATGAACACAAAAAAACAAAATCTTGCTGAGATTTTAATGGAAATTATATTAAACCTATATTCAATTTGAGGAAAACTGGAATATTTCAATCCAAATCCACAGTATCTTGGATTACTTTCATGAACACATTGTCATTTTCAGTCATACCTAAGATTTAGTTTTCGTAGTAGTGATTTATTATAAAGCGACTTCATTTTTAATTTGTTTCCACATGTTGGAAATGGGATTGGTATTTGAGTGGTGATCTTATAATCAGCCACTTTGCTAAATCTACTCATTATCATTAGTTCCAGGAGGTTTTCATAGATTTGTTGGGATTGTCCACACACACAATCATGTCATCTGCAAATAGGGACACTTTTATTTCTTCCTCTCCAACCTGAATTCCTTTCATTTGCTTTACCTGCCTTATTCTACGTGGCTAGAAATGTTAGTCGAGTCAAGACTGGTAGGAGCATGGGTGCCTGGGTGGCTCAGTCAGTTAAGTGTCTGACTTTGGCTCAGGTCATGGTCTTGCAGTTTGTGAGTTCAAGCCCCGCATTGGGTTCTATGCTGACAGCTCGGAGCCTGGAGCCTACTCCGGATTCTGTGTCTCCCTCTCTCTCTGCCCCTCCCCGACTCACACTGTCTCTCACTGTCTCTCACTGTCTCTCTCTCTCTCTCTCTCTCTCTCCCCCCCCCTCAAGAAATTTAAAAAAAAAAAAAATTAAAAAAAATTAAAAAAAAAAAAAAACAGTGGTAAGAGCAAACATCCTGGACTTACTCCCAATCTGAAAGGAGAGGCATTCAGACTTTCACCATTAAGTGTGATCTTGGCTGTACATATTTATAGGTGCTTTTTAATTCACTGTTTAATCCAGGCTGTGGAGAGTTTTTATTATGACTGTGTGTTGGATTTACCCAAATGTTTTTCCTACATCAACTGATATAATTTTTTTTTTTTTTTTTTTTTTTTTTTTTTTTTTTTTTTTTTTAGTTTGTTAACAGGGTAGACTAC